AATTGCATTATTACAAAATCAATTAAATGTGATAATTTAAAAATTTTAATATTTGCAAATTAGTGGAAAATACCAACCGTGGCACTTTGCCACGATCGTGACACATCGTGGCAGATTAGTCATTCTCCAAAATTTATATTCACGATTAAGTACCATGACGTAAATATATTCACTACAAAATTCTATTTAAGCTTATTTACTTTACACATTACAATATAAATACAATTTTTATTAAACGTTTATGTAACTTTACATAAATTAAAGTTACAATAATTTTTAATAAATAAAATATATTAATTTTACCATGTTAGCTATTGTATTGCTTATATCACTATCAATTGGGCTATGCACATGTGCTTTACCTAGCACTAATTTGCCTAGTGCCAAGCAATTTCCCGTCAGATTTATGTTGTATACCCCGCGTAACCCATTTACCGAGCAGATTTTTACCTACCCAGCTGGCGCTAATACACTGACCGATATTAGCAAGTCCAATTTCAATAGCTCACTGCCCACCAAGATCATCATCAATGGCTATTTGGACGACCCCGATAAAAGCATCTGGACCAAAACAATGCGCGACGAGTTTTTGCATGTTTCAAATTGTAATGTGATTTTTGTTGACTGGAGTGCCGGCAATGGTGGAAATTATGATCAGGTATGTTTATGTTTTCTAATTATTTGAAACACAAAAATCAGGCATTTTTTGTAATAGTTGTATCATTACTATAAAACATAACAAACAATGAGTTGTCCATTCATCTTGTTATTATTTAGATAATTATTAAAACATTATTATTGTGTGTTTATTCAGTGGATTTATTTTTATTGCATTGTATATTGTAAATCATATTGCAGCTAATTGTTAGTTAAATGCTAATCTAGTGTTCATATTCTACAATAAATCTATTACTTTTATGTTATTATATAAATATTTAAAATAAGCCTGTAAAATTAAATAATTCCATACAATTAGTCAAAACAGTTAATATTGCATAATTACATTTAGAGTGAAAACGAAGGTTTAATTAATAAATGCCTAACAATTATATTAATTTTGATTGTGTAATTTTAAAAAATTACATATTCATAACATATAAAATAAGAAATCACAAATATAATAAATTGTTTTTAACATGTTTGAATGTTTTTCAATTTACCATTCTGTTCTTGATTTTTAAACATGCTCACTATAATTAATTATGTAATTAATCTTATATAATATTTACAATATATACGCACACCATGTAAAAATAGATTAACAACTTTATTTTATCAAAATAATTATTTTTCAAAATATTAATCAATTTACCAGGCACATGCTAATACACGTACCGCAGCCGAAGCTACCACAAACTTTATTAGGGGTTTACAGGTAATAATAGATTGTTGCATCAAGCTGTTTTAAAAAATAATTAATTACCATTATTATATTATAAATGTTTTAGAATCTGAAGGGTTTATCATTAGGTAAAGTACATATCATTGGACATTCTCTCGGAGCGCATACATCCGGATTCGTTGGCCACGCATTTAATGGCCAAATTGGCCGGATAACTGGCCTTGATCCTGCTGGTATGTTTTTATTTATGTTTATAGTGTAACTATTCTTAAATAAATATTTTAATAAATAAATCATTTTACATAGGACCCGGATTTAACGGTATGCCCGCATCGGACAAACTTAATCCAACAAATGTGCGTAACATTTAATGTTGCCTAGATCATAAATAAATTATAATTCTATTTACTCAGGCACAATTTGTGGACGCAATACACTCCGATGCTGTGCTAAATACAGGCGCTGGTATAGTAGAAAACTCCGGTCACTTAGACTTTTGGCCGGACAATGGCAAAAATCACCCTGGCTGTACGTTGAGCTGGCTGACTAGTATTTTTAGCAACATGAACGGTATACGTTACATAATTATTTTTAATAAATTTTCAAAAACTAAATTACCTATGTCAATAATCTAAACAAAATAATACATTGTAGGTTTCCAGGGTGGTCTCACATGCAATCATTTCAGGGCCATTGACTTTTACGCGGCCAGTATTAACCCCAATAACCCTAAGGGTGTGGCCCATCAGTGCCCTGACTATAGCGCATATATGGCCGGCGAATGCGACACTGATTGCGCGGATAGTGTGGCCAACTGTGCGATTATCGGCGAACAGGCCGTACTGTCCAAACCTTATGAGAGCAGTACTGTTGGCAAACGTTACTATCTGTCCACTAACCCCAGCTATCCGTACTTTCAGGGTTAATTAAAATAATTATTAATTTGGATTATTATTATTATGTGTTTTGTTAATTAAAAATTATACATTTAATAATAAAAATTAATTTAGCATTTTATTATAGAATTAATTTTTTATAAAAATTCTATTAACAAATAATGTTTACTACAATAATTTGCATAGTAATCATTCCTATAAATTTAATGCTTATAATAAATTCCTATAAATTTACTTGATTGCACAAATATTAATTTTAAAAATCACATAGCACATTTTATTTTGAATGAATTCTATATTATTAATCAAATATTATATAATAATTTATTAAATGTGTGTTATATTTTAGAAAAACATTATGCAATTAGATTTGTTTTATTTAAGGTAATAATTTCAGGATTGAAAAGGGATATAGACATTAATTAATTACAAGTCAATATTAGTAAAATTAATTAATATATGTCTATTTGAACACAAATTTTAAATTTTAAAATTAATTGCTATGATGCAAAATTTTGTTTTACTAACATAATTCTAATAAAAACATACATAAGCAATCTAACAAAACAATTAAAAGTCAATATTGTATTATTATAAATTCTATAATATTTTTTATAACTTATATAAAGATTGAATTTATTTAATAATTGAACTTTAGGTTGAATTTAAGTAATTGTGTTTAATTTAAGTAATAGTTGAGACAAATACTAATAAAAATATTAATTTTGAACTAGTAATAAATTTTGCACAATAAAAATATTAATGGTAATTTTTAGTAATATAAATAATAATACATGTTTTAAAACTGTACTATAATTTTTACATTTAATTATAATTTTACTCAAACTTTGCTCATATTTAAATTGAAAGATATCAAGAGTGAAATACAATTAATTTATTAATAATGCATTATTAATGCTTAATCGGGAAATATATATAAGCGACATTGTAACCACCTAGTTATGGCCAGTTTTATAATTTTGAGTGTAGTGTTAATTGCATTCAATAGTGATGTCAGCATTTAAAGCAAATGTAATCACAAATATCTAAGGTTATAAAAATAAACAAGTTTTATAAAGTTGCAAGCATTGAGATACAATGTATTTTCAAACAAGCTGTACATTAATATACAAATAATATTTTAGTTACATCATATTTTATATTAAACTAACATTTGGGAGTTATAGAAATGTCTCAATAAATTATGTAATATAATTAATCTTAAATTTACTTAAATTCACAATTATTTGGTAATTAGTATTACTAATTTTGCGCTATCTCTAATATTATTTTTTAATGTTAAATTCATTGTAATATAATTTTCATAAACAATTTTTATATTACATAAGTAAAAATTATAAATTTTTTATGAATAACAATGTAATGAGAAAATATCAATTATTATTTATTATTTCTATATATTAAATATATTGAAACGTCAATTAACGTTAAATTGATAATAAATCTATTTAAAATAAAAAATGTAAATGATACATTTGATTTTAAAATAATATAGTTTCACATATACAGATATAAATTATAAAGTTTATATATTGTATCAATATTATATTTTTTATATTCACGACTGTAAATATTTATTTAAATTATTATACATAATATTTTTATTAAAAGGTTTTGTTAATTATTGGTTCTTACTCGTCACGTGATAATCGTTTTTTGCAATCCCTAAATTTAAGATAAGCCTAACAATTCTAGAAATCACATTTGTCATTTATTAATTGTTGTTAAAAATTAATCAATAAAAAATAGTAAATCTTGCAAGCTTTGAAATATAATGCCTATTTAAACAAACTGTACATTAACATCTAAACAAAATTTATAATTTACTCGGATTTAATTTTAATATAACATTGGGAACCGATCGAAAATAAATTTAACTCCATTGATTTAACCAATTATAATCTGTATAAAATTATAAAACTGTAACATTATTTTTAGTTATAATTTTAGATTTGCTGAAACATAAAATGCATATATTATTGGTTCAAGAGAAACTTAGCATATTATTATTAACCACAATTCCGTATAAACAATGTTGTTTGTAAAATTGTTCTCCCGTTCTATCCCCTTTTTTGCTAAATTTAAGATATAGGGATAAAATGGGTAATGCGATGTCTATAGGTAATGTTATATCTATGGGAATAATACTAAATGTGTACATTGCTAAATCTATAGCAAGTCTATTGAACTAATATTAAATCTGCAGATTATGCTAATCTATTTATTGAGTATCACCCGAATTGTGGTTAACGTATAACATCGCTGTATAATTTTTGTTTTTTAAATTAACATTAGATTTTTATTGAAAAATTCATTTTGTAATAAAAATATTAAATTTTAATTTTATATAATTATTCGTTAAAAATGTATTTAAAATAATAATGCATTAAGTTAAAAATACACATACAATGACTCATATTGTCAATGAAACAAATAATGAGAATAACACATAAATATATAGAATTTATTTAAAAGATAGAATTGAAGGATAGAATAGACGCTCTGTATGTGTATTACATATTGTAGTTGTATGTAATTTGTTTTTGTAAATATTTATAAACCACCTTGGTCATTGTATGAAATAGCTGTAACAATGTATAATTGTATTATTATTAAAATGTGTGAAACATTAATGATTTTATCATTGAATAAAACTCAAATCGTGATATTCATATTTTTATATACTTTTTTAATTGAATTAGTAATTTAATATTTAATTTTAACAATAGTTTTAGGTATATACCTTTATATAGGTTTATGTTGTATATAAATTAATTAAAACAATATTGTCACTGTAAAAAGTTGAGAAAAATGGCAAAAGAACCTATCTCATGTATTTTTGAACCCATCTTTAAAATATAGCTGCAATGGCGTTACAAAACGTGTATATTTTAGTATAACATTAAACAATTAAAATGTAAATACCCATTATGATTAAAATGTTTAATGGAAAAATTGTAAGAATTTATTATTTTAAGATAAATATTATTTTTAAATTATAAAGTAATTTTATTTTGACTGAGTTCTGAGCGTTAATGCTATAATTATTTTATAAGGGTTGGCACTATACAGCACCCCTCCTGCACCCCTGCACCCCTAGAGATTGGTCAGTATAAACGTAACTCGACTGCACCCCCACGACTGCACCC